AATTAGGTTGTTTCAGAGCCCTGGAGTGGCATCAGGGCCAGGGCTAGACTCCCAGCCCTTAGGGATGGGAGGCCGGAATCTAACTGTCCATGGCTCCAGGGAGCTCTTAAGACAAGAACTCCTCACTGATAGGGAAGTGTCAAAGTCCAGAAAGAGGCAGCAGGAAAAAGCAGGTGTGACAAAGTTTTCACATCTTCCACCAGTGTACAAGATTTTGCAATAAACAGTTGAGCCCTCACTGCATGAGTTAAATGTCCTTGCCTCCTGGCACATTTTCCATGTGTCCCTGAGATGTTTATGCACCCTCAGCCATTAGCCGCACAACAGCCAGGTGATCTTTCAAGAATGTAAGTCTGATTCCTTCATTCATCTGCTTCAGATCCTCCTAGGGTGTTCTATTTCTCTCAGAATAAAGCACAAACTCTAGAAATTCTGCACAACCTGACCCTGCCCACCCACTTCCCACTTGCTCTCATCATGGTTCTCCATGCTCACAAGGCTTCAGCACTCTGACCTCCTTCCTATTTGTTAAATATGCCAGAGTCACTCCTACCACAGGATCTTTGCACTAGCTGTTTTTCTTCAAGAGTCATCACTGCTTTGCCTTTGAAGTCTCTGGCCACAGGCAAGGTTTCAACAGCAGAGGAACTCCCAAGTGAGGTAGAAAACTGTGATTCTGTGGGTTTGACATGGATTTCTTTTTCTATTGACTCTTACCCAGTTGAAGGCTGGAACAGCTTGACACCTTCATGTTACAAAGAGAGGACTGAAGCCCAGAGACTGAATAAGACATAATCAAAGTCACTCAGATTTGGAGGGAACACAACTGTTCGAGGATGGACCCAGAGGTTGTGACCTGGACTCAAAGGGAAGGGATTTTAATCTTCATGTACATACTACCTGAATCTCCTGTGTTTTACAATATTTACACAGTCATAGCTCTCCTTCACTCTTCCCTCGTCTTGGCTTTTGACTTTGCTGAGTTCAAGGTTGTACAAAAGAAGTCAGAGACAATCTGGAATTTCTCCTCCATTTGTGTTGTCCTATTTTCTTTGCCACAAAATACACTTTTTGACATCAGAAGAGGGTGATTTGTAATTTATGGATTTCTCTCTAGAAATTACAACCAGAAACTAATTTAAAAAATCAAATTGGTTTCATCTAATTAAATTTGGAAATTGCCTCATAAACACATATTCCGTTATAAATGTCTTTAAAAGCAAGGTCTCCTGCTCACTGTCTGAGGCAGGACTGGGCTGAGCCCAGCGTGGAGGAGACTCCCCAGCTCTCTGCTCAGGAGGACACACTCTCTTATCAGTTGCTGAAAGTTTCTAAAGAACAGCGTGGCCTAGAGTAGTGCTTCTCAAACCCGAATGCCCATGTGAGTCACCCAGGGGTCTTGCGAAAAGGAAGACTGATTCGGGAAGTCTGGTGGGGGCTGCGCCACTGTGCTTCTAACCGGCTCCTGCGTAATGCCAACGCTGCTGGCCCGTGGACCTCACTGACCGAGGGGCAAGACGTCAGCACTTGAATCCCAGATCCACAAAGTTGCCATCTCGGCTGTATGATCTTGGTCTTCTCATGTCACCTCACCAAGTCTCAATTGCCTCATTTTCATGTAATGATAAAGGCTAACATGGGTTAATGCTATATCTAAATGCTGACACATTTATGTTCCTTAACAAATATAAATGGGCGGTTACTTAATGTACCCAAGGTTACGACAGCAAGGAAGTGGCAGAGCTGGGATTCAGCTCTAGGCTGCCTGACCTCAAAAGTCAACGTTCTTACCTTCTGAGGCCTCACTGGCTTGTGACACACATGGTCACAGACAAGTTTATGCTCAAAATGCAAAGCCGAAGCCCATGACCTCCTTAGCTCCCTTCACAGCATCCTGCAAGAATACTGACATATTCCCAAAAGGTAACCTCCAGCACTCACGAGCCAGCCAGACAGCGGCAGCCTCCTGGTTCTGCTTCTCTGTAAGACAGCCCACAGGGCAGCCAGGAAGCCACCTGACGGTGTCTCACCACAGCTGTTTCCAGTAGAGTCTATCATGGGAACGCCAACTCCCCAGCAACTGGTCTGTGAACATCCACAAGGCACTGGGTTCACAGGGAAGTGAGAAGAAGGGTATGTTGTCCTACTCTGTGTGCACCTTTGTGCCTACAGCTCCAGACAGTGCACCATATACGCATCCTCACCTCTGTCACACAGCAGGACCCTATGGGGCCTTCCCAGGACAGAACCCCACCCCAGCGCACTCTGTCTGACTCTTGTCCATAGAAGAAATTAGCCAAAGAATAAATTTAATCAGAGAAATGAGAAACTAAGGCAGGCAGTCAAGTGAGACAAAATAATAACAGTCTAGCCACGAAGCAAAGTCAGGGAAATTCAGTTCCTCCTCAAGGGCTATGGATAATATTCTGAGCCATATCCCTTGAGCTGTTTTGCAGCTACGGAAACCCCCACCAGGTGGAAGAAGTTAACTACATGATGACCAGAATGCAGCCTTGACATAAGCTGCTCCATCTTATACGGTTCTGAGAACTGGCTTCAAGGAAATGAGAACAAACCATTTCTGGAACCGAAGATGAACTGCACTTGAAACAATCAAGATGACGCTGATCAGACCACCGCATGACCAACCGCAAGATGACCGTCAGAGCCGACTGTGCTGTTCTACATGCAGCCCCTCCTTCCGCCTATACACCCCTAAAAATCCCCTTTAAAAGCTCTTGCTTCCTGATCGTAGTTGTGAGTTGGCTTTTGGACACAAGTCCACCTTCTCCCCAGCTTGCCAGCCTTCTCAATAAAGCAACTTCTTTCCAACCAACACTTGTATTGGCTTTCAAGGGGTGAGCAGCTGAATCTGAGTTTGGCAACACCTTCGGGAAGCTACTGCTCAAACAGGCTGCCTACCTGTTTATGTTTGCATTCTTGTTCTCTCTCCATCTTTTTCTTTCTTCTTACCATGGAATTGCAATCAAGGGTTTCCTAGCCCAGCCCAGTGTATAATCCTATTAGATCAAGAAGTGTATTGCTCCTGAGGAAGAAGTATGTGCAGAGACATGACCCCACCTGTAACATGGTCTAGACCAGTGGTTTCCAGGTGCAGGTAGGCACAAGGAGCAGGGTCTTTTCAGGACAGAACTGTCCTCAATTCAAGGCAAAATGAGAAAAAAATAAGGAGATTGTCATGAGTTACTCATAAAGCTAAATTTATTCAATTTAAAGGACTTTTATTCTGAAATTATGTCCTTCCTGTATTTTTGATTGTTTTTTATGAACCGCTCTTAGTAAAAGATAGTAATGCCCTCTACTGGTTCCCAAAAACCATTTGAAATGTTACTGGCCTGTGGATTCCAGAAGTCTTCAACATCTGGCACTGAGAGCCATTTACATAACAACACCAAGCAACTTAACTCTCTAAGTCCTGGGTCCTTTCGCTCTGCTTTATAAAGAGCAAGTGGCCACACAGGGCAGATCTCTGTTTCATTTGTGTGTATGTGAGCATGAGTGATTAAGGCCTGGGCTTTACAAAGAACAGTGTGTAGCTTTTAAATGACTGGGTTTTCTTTCAGTTGAGTTTCCAATCCCTCTCTTCCCTGACAAGGCATTGAACATGTCCTGAGCAAGGTCTATCAGTATGAGTCACTCCTTCCCTTCAGTAACATCCCTGGGAAGGAAGCTTCTCCCAAGCCTGTGGGCCAAGATGGAGATGTTAGCTCTGCTTCTGAGGAATGCAGGATGAAGTGAGATAGGGTGTTTTCTCCAGCGCCCTGGATGTGATAGACAGTTTTCTCCTCCCTCACAGAGCTCTGAGGTTCATCCAGGTCTCTCTAAAGAATGTCTGTGTCCATCAGATTCACCCTGAATATTTCTCCCCCATCAATACCCCTTGACTTTCCTCCCCAAAGCTCACCCTCCCTTATGGTGGGGATATTCCTCCCCAAGCTCACTCTAAACAGGTGTACCTTTCTACATGAGCACTCAGTGTCCTAAGTCCCTTCATGAGCCTGCAGTGCATTTCAGCCTGGGATGCTTGTCACCTTTCTCCACTCAGGCTCCCTAGAGGGACCTTGAAGGAGCAATTACCATCCCATTTTACAGGTGAGCAAACTGAGGCTTGACGAGAGGAAGAACCTGCCAAAGGTCACTTGATGGTGGTAGAGCTACTAGGATACCAGACTCCATCCTTCCAGCTTCATTTTCCATGCCCCTTCCTCTGCATTGATGTGTTTTTCTATTTTACCCTGTGTCACAATCTTGTGATGTCTCAGAATGTAAGGTGTGGGAAGAGAGTCAATCTTGTCCATATCCCAATAAATTAACACTTAGCTATATCAGCCTTATGGAAGTTTTTCAGTAACTTTTGCTTTTGTTTTGCAATGAACTTCTACACAATTTGTTCCCATTTTGAACGTTTTCAGGGAAGCCACATTGTGTGGGGCTGATGGCATTCCTGTCCAAGGACATTCTGCCCCATCTCTGGTATAAGACCCTGCTAATCCTGGGAGAAGGGCTTTCAACACCAGCACCTGAGTGGCATTACAATATGCCCTGGCCACAGGGCTATGTTTAAGCTCAGGAATCCTGTACTCCCAGGGTAGAGAATGACCTTGAGGTCCTTTTGGAAGCCCAGGGACTGATATGAGTACACTGAGCATCACGTGGGTGCTGTGATTTTCCAGAGGAACTGCAACTGCTTCTCGCCAGGCCTGGGCCTTCTTGGCAGCGCCAGGACAATCTGATTCCTTTGCCAGAAAGATCTATCACTCTAATGCCAATCTTCCTTGCCACTGGGGCTATTAAGACAGCTTGATTGATACTCTTGCATTTTCTTCCTGCTGTATCATCTGAAATCTTCTGGTCAGTTGTGTCTCACTCACCTTCATGCTCTCAGTGGAGCTCTGCACCCAGTAGGTGTTTGCCAATTTCAAGCTGAAGTAAACGGAATAAATCCAAGCCAAGTGACATAACCAGAGGGGCCTTCTTACCTCATAGAGCGTGATGACTCCGTTGGTCTCATTGGGTGGTTTCCACTGGATGTAGATCTTCTCCTCAAAAGGCCCCCCTTGGATGGATTCCAGAGGAACAGCTCCTGGAACTACAGAAGGAAACAAGTTAGGAACTTGATGTCACCTTCCATCTCATTTCCCCAGCCTCAATGATCTAGAATGGGAATCGGCAAAATTTTCCTCTAAAGGGCCAGAAAGTAAATATTTTAGGCTTGGTGGAACATACAGTCCCTGTTGTGACTACTCAGTGTGGCACAGGCAATCCATAAATGAATGGGCATGGCTGTGTTCCAAAAACACTTTATTTCTAAAAACAGACAATGGGGCTGGAGCTGACTCCTAGGTCATAGTTTGCTACCCCTTCTCCTGGAAGGCTGATGGCTTTTCATCTGCAGACTGAGCAAGTCTGTTCTGGAACTAAACCTGATCAGGATAAAGAGGACATCTGTAGGTCCCAGCCCTGCCAGCAGGTGGGATTCTGGAATTAGACTCTTGCCATAGGATTGGTATTTGAGAAATGCAAAGTGAACTTCACTATCATTTTTCTAAACCTGTCAAGTTTTCTCCAACTATATGAAGTGCTTCCACAGTTTCCTAATCCCTAAATCCACCAGGAACTCTGCCTTGAAACCTCAGTCTAATTGGAAGATGCCTGCCTCGCTCCAAGAAGGCAGCTAGTTTGTCTGGCTGCCGAGTCTCCAATGCCTGACATATGGTAGGTGCATAATAACCATTTGCTGTTTGGACGAACAGGTGAATCAGTGACCTATGCCAGCATTTTAACCTAATGAGCAAAACCTTTCCTGGGCTGTTTCTGTACCCTGATCAGTCTTCCTGCCGGCATCATCTTGCTCGTTTCCACCATCATTATGACAGTCTGGAAGATGCAGAACCATAAAATAATGACTCCCCAAACTTACAGTTATAACCCTCTAGAGGATCATGAATTCATGTAAATCATTACTGAATCTGTTTATATTCTGGCATTATAAAAGCAGGTATTTTTACTAAGCGCTTACTCTTTGATCAGATTTTTACATACATTATTTCATTTAAGCCACAAAACAGCTCTGCCCAGTATGCATTATCTTTCGTGCTGATAAGGGAACTGAGGCTAAGAGAATTAAATACCTTGCTCAAGGTCATATGGCTCTTAAGTTGTAAAGAGGGAACTGAACACCTGTCTGTCAGCTTCAAAGCATATACTCTTAATCACCGTGCTTCGCCTCTCTAGATATAGCCACAGCCATATGTTGCAATCAGTTCCCTATTGTTAAATTAAAATCTATTTAGTTTTTCTCATTATGGACATGATACACAGAATTTGTTGAATATTAAGAACCTACAAAAAAGGTTTTTAAAAAAAAACCAGAACAAAATCACTCATAATCCCTGTAACTGGAGATGTTTTTCTAGTATTTTTATGCCTATGAATATATATGTATATATGTTATTTTTAAAAATTAAACTGCTACGGTGCATGTTGTGTTGTGTCCTTCTTTTATCGCTAAACAAATCAGTTTGAAAAAAACCCTTAAATGTTCTTCGGGGCCATGCATTTTAATGGCTGCTTAGAGCAAGACAGGCCCCATTACAGTCCCCAATCCTTTATTGGGCCTTAAAGTTGGTTTGAATTCTTTAGGATTGTAAGTAACACGGCAATAAGCATTCTTATAAATAAGTATTTACTTGCAAATCTGCTGACGTCCCTAAGATAAATTCGTGGAAATTAATTTATTGGGCCAAAGTAGATGAACTCTTTTATCCTTAAGGCATTTGACATATATTATCACATCGCCTTCCAGAAAGCGTGCGCCATTCTGGGCTCTCCAGAGAGAAGGATGAGGAGGATATGCCAATTCTAAATCCGTGCCACCAAGGACTATTTAAAAAAATTAAGTGTATGTATGTGTATCTTTCTTAGAATACTGGAGAATGCACATTTATTTTCCAGTTTAATTGGTCATTTGCACTGATTCTTTTATGAACATGCTCTCTACACTCTCTGCTCATTTTCCTGCCTGGCTCTTCATTTCTGTTCATCGCTGTCTTATAATTATAATCTACTTCTTAAGGACTTAAGCTTTTTTGCATAGGTTACAGATACTTTTCTCAGGTTTTCATTTGCTTCTTAAATCTTTTAAGTATGTGGAATCTTCTACGTATTCAGATCTCTTACAGCTTTTCCTTATCCACTCATCCTTTCCACAAATATTTACTGAATATTTAATACAACCAAGGGATTGTGATGGACACAAGGGATGCACCAATGACAAAGAAAGATACAGTCAAATCCTTGATAAAGCTTGTATCCTGGAAAGGGAGACAGACTTTTAAAAAATTAATTATGAGTGTAATTATTTATTTAAGTTGTTATCAGGACTTGGAGATAAAGACACGAGGTGTTGGAAGAATTATAACCAGCAGAGAAAATCTAGTCTGGCAAGTCAGAATACTAAGTGGAAAGTGAGAGTCAATGGATACGTAGAAGCCACTAGGACGAGCATGAAGAGGGTGGGTGTTGAGTGTGAACAGCTTTGCGCGGAGAAGAGGAGAAGGAGAAAAGCCATCCTGAGGAGGAAAGATGGTAGCTTGGACCAGGGTGATGGTAATGCAGAAGAGATGAAGATGCATAGATTTGAGTGTGCTAAACTCAAGTAATTTAGCAGTGATGGAGGGAAGAGATGTGTCAAGGAAGACCCCGGCTCTTCTGTTTTATACAAATGGGGTGGATCAGAGGGTTGTTTATAGAATGGGAGCCTTAGATGATGACTAGTTTTGAAAAGGAAGCTGGCAAGCTGAGTTTTGTCATAATTCATTGCAGGTGTATATAGAACACCCAGGAGGCAATGTTGAGTAACAGCTGGACATAGGAGATGGTGGAGGCCAACGTTTAGAAACTGAAAGAAGGGCAAGGACTAGATCTCGTAGCAGGACTGCAGAGGGGAACAAAAGCAGCGCAGCGGGGACTAAGGCAAGAGGAACTCCAATCTTAACAACAAAGACAAACTCAGAAACTGGGAAGCCATGTTCAGAGAGCTGATGGAAAACCAGGAAGGTGAGCTGTCCTTGAAGCAGCCAAGGGAGGATCAAAAAGGTATTGGTTAACGGGACAGATGTGGCTGTTGAGTAAGATGCAACCTTATACTTGTCCACTGAATGTAGTGCCTTCAAGGTTACTTGTGAGCCAAGCAAGTGTAATTGAGGGAGAACATTGGTGTCATAAGCCAACCTTCAGTGGACGAAAAAAGTGGAAGGTAAGGGACTGGGCGGAGACAAGTAAACATTTTGGCTGCGAAGCAGAGGGGAATGCAAGAAGTAGCAGGGATGAGACATGGAGCTAAAGCAGGGGCCCCTCCCAAAGACAGGAGAGGTTATAGCATGATTAAAGGCAACCAGAAAAAAATCCAAAATTGATGCAAGAGGTAGAAGAGTGGGGAAGAGAGGTAAGAGGAAAAAAATGTGCAGATGCTTCAGAGAGGGAGGTTGAGATATCCTAATGGTCTATTTTCCTAAGAAGAGAGAATGAAACCATCTACTGAAAGTATCCTGGGGGAGGAGCTTCCTCAGGAATTTGAAGAAGCTCTAAGAGGAGAAACGTGAGCTGAATCGAGAGATGCTGGTGCTGCTCACTAAGAAGGGTCTCTCTGCTGTGAGGTGATACCTCATTGTAGTTTCAATTTGCATTTCTCTGATAATTAGTGATATTGAGCATTTTTTCATGTGCCTATTGATCATTTGTATGTCTTCCTTGGAGAATTGCTTGTTTAGGTCTTCTGCCCATTTTTGGATTGGGTTGTTTGTTTTTTTCTTATTAAATCGTGTGAGCTGCTTATATATTCTGGAGATCAAGCCTTTGTCGGTTTAATTTGCAAAAATTTCCTCCCATTCCATAGGTTGTCGTTTTGTTTTACTTATGGTTTCCTTTGCTGTGCAGAAGCTTGTAATTTTCATTAGGTCCCATTTGTTTATTCTTGCTTTTATTCCTATTGCTTGGGTAGACTGCTCTAGGAGAACATTTTTGAGATGTATGTCAGATAATGTTTTGCCTGTATTTTCTTCTAGGAGGTTTATTGTATCTTGTCTTATGTTTAAGTCTTTGATCCATTTTGAGTTTATTTTTGTGTATGGTGTAAGGGAGTGTTCTAGCTTCATTGCTTTACATGCTGCTGTCCAGTTTTTCCAACACCATTTGCTAAAGAGACTGTCTTTATTCCATTGTATATTCTTGTCTCCTTTGTCGAAGATTAGTTGACCAAAAGTTCGTGGGTTCATTTCTGGGCTCTCTGTTCTGTTCCATTGATCCATATGTCTGTTTTTGCACCAATATCATGCTGTCTTGATTACTGTAGCTCTGTAGTACTGTCTGAAGTCTGCGAGAGTTATTCCTCCAGCCTCTTTCTTTTCCTTCAGTAATGCTTTGGCAATTCTAGGTCTTTTGTGGTTCCATACAAATTTTATTATGATTTGTTCTAGTTCTGTGAAATATGTCCTAGGTAATTTGATAGGGATTGCATTAAATCTGTAGATTGCCTTGGGCAGTATGACCATGTTAACAATATTGATTCTTCCAATCCAGGAGCATGGGATATCTTTCCATTTTTTTAAGTCTTCTTTAATTTCCTTCAGTGTTTTATAGTTTTCCGTGTATAAGTCTTTCACCTCCTTGGTTAGATTTACTCCTAGGTATTTTATTACTTTGGGTGCTATTTTAAAGGAGATTGTTTCTTTACTTTCTTTTTCTGTTGATTCATTAGCGTAACGAAATGCAACTGATTTTTGAATGTTAATCTTGTAACCTACTACCTTGCTGAATTCTTCGATTATTTCTCTGATGCAGGCTGTGACCAGGAATATCAAACTAGGACCACTGCCTGGACACCTCCTTCAATACCAGTTCAGAGCAAATTCTCTTTCTCACCCCAGATCAGATGAATAGTCATCTGTATTTTCTTCTTTTTATCTTATGGTTTATTCCCATCTTTTTTTTCTTTTTAAACCCAACACTAATCCATCTGGGATCAATTTTATGTATTGTAACAAGTGGAAATCTAACTAGAGTTCTTTACAATATTCTTAGGACAATAAA